TGACCTTGGCAGGCTGGGAGTCACACAGATCCCAGGATGTCTGTTCCCTTGGAGCTGGCTGTTCCTGGCCTGCTCCTGCCTTCTCTGAGAATACCAGTAAATGGTCCCGTAATGTGCATCTGGCAGGGCTTCAGCATCGTTGCTTGTCCATTTGTCTTTCATCTACTGCCTTTCAGCTTTGCCCAGATTTAGCAAAGTTGGGGGTTGGACTGGAGTAAGGAGGGAGAAATTGGTTGTGGTCTGAGGCTCTGGAAGCTGAAGGTCCTTGAGGCTGAGGAGGTGGTGGTTTGTAGATCTGTTATGGGCAAGGAGGAAGGGTGACCCAGCTGTTAGGAAGTTGAAAGCCAAGGTGAGGGTATTCATTTCAGCCCTGTGCTGTGAGAGACTTTCAGAGTTCAGAGGGTGCTGGGTGCTTGTCTGAGCAAAGCCTGGCTGTGGGCTGGGCAATGACCAGGCAGGTGCTCCCACCCTTACCCTGCAACCCCTGGGATACATCCACCAGCTTTGGGGAACAGCCCCTCCTCTGCTGGGTGATGCTGCTGGTGGGGGAAGCAGAACTCTTAAATCCATTAGAAAGTCTTGGTTAGGCAGTGCTGGCTGCAGTCCAGGTGCTTGACAGCTCTGTCCCTCCCTGGGCTGTGCTGGGCTGGCTGATGCTGCTGAGGGAATGTTTCAGGCATCTGGTGGGTCCTGCTGCCCCTCTCCTGTCACACCTTGCTGGGAAACCTGAGCTGTGTTTGATGCCAGCTGCTTGACCCCAGCAGTGCTGCTCCTGAGCTCCCTGCAGGGGCACAGCTCCTTCTGAGCTGCTCTTTGGGCCTGAATCTGAAGTATTGGCTGCAGTTTGCCATAGAAAGGTTTCAGATGCTTCAAATGCTTCAAATAACCTGCATGTGCACCTTCACTCCAACCTTAATGTGTTCAACTTTTATCTGCAGTGCAACAGTTTGGGGCCAGTGCCATTTGCTTTGCACAGTTGGTAATAAACATTTGGGGGATTTGGGAGGTGAAGGATAGACCAAAGCTCCCAAATCATCTTCTGTGCACAGAAAACTTGACAGGAAGTCTCTCCAGGTCTGGGCACGGAGTGCCAAGGACATCCCTGCCATTTCAGACCCTCAGGTACACAGTGGCTGTGGCATGAGCAGCCCGTGAGCAGATGTACCTTCAGCTCTGCCCTTGGCCTGGCAGGCCCCAGCACTCCTGGGGGGAGCAGGATTCCTGCTGTGGCCCCGCTGTGGCTGTGCCTGCCCCATTCCTGTGAACGTGTGTGATGTGTGACAGCCTGAGTGCTGTGCCCTGCCCATGCTCCTTTGGAGGGCAGGCTGTGGGGGAAGGTTCTCAGTAACCTTCAGACTGACCTGTGTCCTGCCAATGGACTTGGATTTCTGGAGCCATCTGTGTGTGAGGAGTGTCTCTACCCTCTTCCCTTCCCTCATCCTCCTGCAGTTTTACTCTTTGCAGCCCCGTTCTCTGCATGTCAGACTGGGAGTGCTGAAGCCAATTAGCAGTGGAAGGTGTAATAAATGCAGAGAAATTCAAATTTGGGTGGTATTTTTCACACCTTCTGGTTTAAATGTGGAGTGACCACCTGAGGGGAGTTAGACATCCTTGATTCTGTTGTGCCTTTCTGGACTAAATCCTGGGTACTGTCAAAACCTGGGAAGGAACGTTGTGGTCTGCTTTAGCTGAGGCAGGTGGGCCAGGGGATGTTTGAGTTGTTTGAAAGTAAAACTCCCCAATGGATGTGGATCATCCATTCTGCTTCTCTGCCGGCACAGTGCCTTTCCCTGGGTTGCTGTGTGGAAAGCTCTGTGTCCCTGATGGAATCAGCCCTTGTTTCTCGGTGGAGCTCTGCTGCTTTTCCCAGGGGCAAAATTGTCCTGCTTTAATGTGCAGCCAGAGGGAGTTTAATAATAAAGTAACCAACTAGGTTCAGTGGTTGTGCACAGCTGGTGTGAGGTGTCCTCAGCTGAAGCTGCAGGAGTCAAAGGTGAGGGGGAGGAGGGCACGAGGGTGACTTGTAGAAGTGCAGATGTTGCAGGATCCTCTTGAATGTGGCCTCTCCTGATGTATTTGTGTCACTGCTGCATTTGGAAGATGCTCCAGGCCATGTGTCTGTGTTGATGTTTCACTTTCACTCCTGTATCAGAAAGCATTAGTTTAATTTTTATTACTTTATTTATTTTTTATATTCTGAATATATATATATTTTATATTCTGAATGTCTCTCTCCTCTGAGCTCTCGGGATGCTTTAGCTGTGCTCTCCCTTGCACAGAACGTAGTTTTCTGTGCCAGTTGGCTTGTAAGCAAATACCATGATGTGCATATTCTAACGAGGGTGCTCTGGAGGTGACTTTGTTAATTAGCCCAGGATCCAGATAGAGGAAAAGGACCTGTGCTAATGAGGCATTAGCAGTTGGTCTGAAGAGGCACCAGTCCCACCCAGCTGAAGCAAAGATTTAGGAGGAGGTTCTTGGGGTTAGTGGAGCTGCTTTTTTTTCCCCCTAAAGTTTAATTGCTCTATTTTTGCTGCTCAGCTCGTGTTTCCTTTTGCTGAGCACAGCGCTGTAAACAGAGGTCCTGGATCCTGCAGGCCTGGCCAGGAGCTGGGAGAAGAGAACTGAACCCCTGGAGAGGAGGGGGGACTTCTCATGGGTCACTGCTGATTTCTCATTTTTGGGGAAAAAGGCCTCCCAAAAAAGTCTTGTGATTACAAAAAAGTTTTGATGATGACTGAGCTGTAATAAATTGGAAAAAACCCCTTTTTTTTTTCTTGATGTTTTCTCTAGATTGTGTCTGAGATTGATGAAAGTATTGTACAGAAATTGAAAAAAAGAATCCGAACCTGATCTCTCCAGTGATTTTGGAAAATGTAAAATGTTAAGACAGTAGGGATTGGGGAAGCTGTGTTGGTTATGGGTCCCTTATCTCTTACTGGCTCCACTGTGGGTTGTAAGAGGGGGAATTAAAATCAGTAGTGCTGTGTTGCTTTTTTCAGCAGCCACCCTTTGGGCTAAAGATCCCCAGTGGGATGTGGGGATTTGCTCTTCCAAAAACGAGGCAAATGTGGCTGGGGAGAACAATAAAGCTACTGCTGCGGGTTTAGGAGCTCTTAGAAACGACTTGTAATTTGAGATCCTCAACTTGCAGCAGCTTCAGGGAGAGAGAGTCGGGGTTATTTTGGGGTCTGAATGTGAGTAGTGTGGAGGGAGGCCCTGCAGGGCTCCGAGGGCTTGGAAGCAGCTGTGGGACGTTGTATCCCAGGGCCATGTCCCAGTTTTCTCCATGGGAATGTCCATTTTGCAGCCGGGGTGTAGTTTTTAAGACTTTTAGTTGAAGTCTGGGTGCTTTATGCTTTTTTCCTTCCCCCCCCCCTTTTTTTTTCCTCTCCTTCGTTGCATATTTTTGCAACATCTCTGGGGCTGCTCCTAAAAGTCAGTGGGGCTTCCTAGGAAATGCTGCTCTAGTTCCTGTGGCAGACTGTGGTGTATAAAACTGAGGGGGTTGCATGCCAAGAGGGGTTTCTGTTTGGCAGCTCTGGAACCGACAGGTGTGTTGTTTGCATCTGTACCTCCTGTGTTGCTTTGGCAGATGGGCTGTAATGTCAGAAGAGCCATTTGATAACAGAGAGGGTCATGCATTGATCACAGCAGTGTGATCTGGCCATTTGCCCTTCTTCAGTCTTTTCTTAGTGAAAATAAAGCCCAGTTTTAGTGAAAGCTTCAGTGGGCCTTCTGGCTGTGGTGGTTGGTTGGTTAACAGCTTGTAAGCACTGGTGGTTGCAAGAGTGGAGTCGTCACGTGCAGCCTGTTTTAATGCCGAGTTTTACTCAGATTTAGTTTCTGTTTGTCATGTGTGGTGTGTCACATGGTGGAGGCAACTCCTGTAGGTGCTGAGTAACCACCAGGTACAAACATGTCTGGTGGAACTGTGTGGGGTTGGTCTGCTGGTTTCTGGCAGCTGGTGAAGAACGAGATTCACCGAAGGGCTCAAACTTTGACAAGGGAATTCTTTGGGGTGTGAGTTGCCTTTTGTGGTGTGCAACTGCTGCCCTCGTTGCTGTGGGACTTCTGAAGGCCACGGCAGCCCCGACACACAACTCACCGGTGAGCTGATGCTTTAGAAGTGCTGCAGCTTAACTGAGTGTGTGGTGCAGTGTGAGGTACCAGAGAGCAAATGAGGTGCTGTTGGGTGGTGGCACCAGCAGTGTCATCCTGCCTCCCTGAGATCCCTGGGCCTCTTCGTCCTGATTCATTCCGGTCTCCGGAGCCACGTGTGAAACTTTGATGCCTTTATTCCCCATCCTCAGTCACCTTCCTGTGTCTACCAGAACCACAAATAAAACCCTGTGTTTGGGTGCAGTGCTGACAGAGATGAAAGGCTTTCATCCTAAACAAGTCAATTTATCCTGGGAGTCCTGGCTTTACTAATAGCAATGACCACAGAATGAATTGTGGCTTTTCATCCCTTGTTCTTCTGTCCTGTTTTAAGAGCACAAACATCAAACCATGTGTGGGAGATGTTTCTTCTGCTTCTTGCACAAATCAGCTTTGTAATGTAACTTGGATGCTTCAAAGTCGGGGAGCCTTTTAAGTTTAGGGCTGTGGTGGTTCAGTGGGTGATCTGTAGCTCTGATTTCTGTCCAAGGCAGCGTTGCTGTCCTTCAGCTTTCTTCTCATAATGGAGTTAATGGAGCAGTGTGTGGCAGGACAAGGAACCGGTGTAACTGTGTGTTTTTATGGAGGTGTTAAATGTTAACTTTGCTGCCGTTGATTGAAGATTTACCCCCTTGGATCCCTTTTAGTTCCCAGAAATAACTGTCTGGGCAGAGCTGGAGGCTCTGGAGCCAAGCACATGTGGAACACTCCCACCATGGAGTGGTGGCAGCTGCTCAGTGCCCTCCCTCTCCTGACTGTTCCAAGGCAGGGATGGGATTGGAAGCGAAGACCAAGAGGTTTCTTTGTTAATGAACAGGGTGATTTTGTGTCTCCCACAGGTGGCTTTGCAATAGTGTTTCTGGTGAGGACGAGCAATGGGGTGAAGTGTGCCCTGAAGAGGATGTATGTCAATAACGAGTACGACCTGCAGGTCTGCAAGAGGGAAATCCAGATCATGGTGAGTCACTGGGCTGTGCTGGGACACCACACTGCAGTGCTGGGAGAGCCTGGTCACCTTCTACCTCTGATCTCTGTAGCATCGGGTCACAAACTGCATTTTCTTAGCAAAACTGACTTCTTAGCAAAACCTGACTCCTGGAGTTATGTGACTAGGAAAGTCTAGTAGTGAATTATTTCAAATGTTCCAGTGGACAAGCAAAACCTGGTAGCTAAAAAACCCAGGGAGTTTCAGGAAAATGGGGGGAGAAAAAAAGCTCCTGTGTCAACAGGCTTAATGGGAAGAGTTGAAGAGGCAAGCATGGCTGGGGGTGCTGGAATTCAGTCTGACAGTCTTCAGTTGAGAGCTAAAGTCTTCAACCTGTTAGACCTCATCAGAAAAGGCTGATGGTTCTGATGTAGCTGTGTCTGAACTGCAATCAGTGCAGGAATGGCAGACCCCCATCCTGAGATAAATCTATATCACAGCAGCTTCTCCTCCTTTGGGGCAGGATCAAGGTTATCTTGGCATCGATGGGGTTGGGAGATTTAAACAGTGTTTGTGGGGTGGTTGCTGTCAGGGCTTTTGAAATGGGAAAGTATCTGTAATGAGCTCTGGGATATTTCTCTAGATTATATGTATACAGGACTTATATGATAGGGTAGCTGTTTTAAACTTTGCATCTCTGAACAAAGACAAAATGGAGATGATCCAAATAGATTTGCAGCCTGGTAAACATGAGAAGTGCCACTTCTGAAGTTGTATCCAAAGATATCGATGAACATTTAGAGCAGGTGCAGGTGGGGAAGGAAATATAAAATATATAAAATCCTCATTCTGTGAATTTACCACATAAGGTACAGGTTTGGGGTAGATGATCAGATCAGAAACTCTTACCTGTGGCAATTCTGGGTGTGATTTTTGAAGTAGCTTTAATGAGGTTTATACCCTTAAAGTGAAGTGCTGGTGTTCGTGATAGCACAATGAAGCTTTGGGCATGGTTTGTCATCCCCATACCTCCGTGGGAAAAGTTGAGATCAGATCTCACATCAAAGGTTTTAGCTGTGCTCACAGACCTTGTGAGCACCTTGTGAGCACCTTGTGAGCACCTTGGGTTTTACTTGCTGGTGCTTTCTGTTGTCTCCGTGTCTTTGGTGCCTTTGGAATGTGTGGTGGCTCGCCTGGAAGGTGAGGGTGAGGAGGACCCTTCTTACCCAGCAGGTCCTCTTGCTCCTGGACTGGATCCTAGGCACTCATCTTTGTCCTAAAGGGAAACAATTCCTTCTTTCCCGGCTTTTCTGCAATAAAGGAATTATTTTAAACTTCGGTTTTTGCAGCCCTACAGTGTCAGAGCAGGATGTGTCCAGCAGAACCTTGATTTCCTTTATTGGTGAAGCTGAGCATCAGACTGGCCTGTGTGTGAAGCTGGAATCCCAAAGAAATGACTTCTCCCTGCAGGTTTAGCATGTTGTCCCCATGGCAGGGGGGTGGAACTGGATGATGTTTAAGGTCCCTTCCAACCCAAACCAGGCTGTGATTCTATGAAAAGTCATTGATACGAGAACCTGTGCTTTAACCCATCGGGTTACTTAAAATAAGGCACTTTGAAAAGCAAGGTTAAGATTTATTTTGTTGGTTTAGTGGATTTTTATAGTGAAGATTCGGGATATTTTTTGTCAGATGAGACAAGTAAGTACAACATGTCCTGCATGGCCACCATCACCATCTGCCCTGTGCAGAGGAGGAGCTCTGGGGGCTTAGCCTGGGAATGTGCCAAAATCTGGACCAGTCCTGAACAGGTTAATGCAGCAGGCTGGCTGTTTCTCTCCTGTTTGTCTCAAATCTTTCTAGAAGGAAAACAGGTAGAGACAGAGCTCGGGTTTGTTCAGGCTCTGCGTTGTGATTAACCCAGAGTGACAGGAGCCTGTGCAGCGTGGAGGAACCAGAGCAGGAGGTTGCTGCCCTGCATGGCTGGCTCATGGCTGGAATTTCTATGCCTTGCAGCGGGACCTGTCTGGCCACAAGAACATCGTCGGGTACATCGACTCCAGCATCAACTCCGTGAGCAGCGGGGACGTGTGGGAGGTGCTGATCCTCATGGACTTCTGTCGGGGTGAGTGTGGGCTTGGCGTGTTGGCCATGGGTGGGCTGCTCCTTCAGTGCCTGCAGGGAACTTGCACAGCATCTTCCTTTAAAAAAAAAAGCTGTTCCTAGGCCTGGCCCTTTCTTGGCTGCCAGGAAGCTGTTCTGAACAAAGCAAAGCCAGAACTGGGGGTGGAGAAGTGGACTGACATGTGAGGCTGTGGGGATTCTACTCGTGGGATTGGTACCACCTTTACTCCTGCCCAGGGTAGGCTTGGATCCTTTCCATTGTGAAGGAGAACCCTAAAGTACCTGTTGCTGTTGTCTGTAGGCTGGTCCACACAAGAAGTGGCTCTTCTAAAGCTCCCAGACTGTGGAATGAAATTTTTCTTCTCTTTATGTTGCATTGCAAGCTTTGTTCCATTTCAGCCTGACTGAGGGTTGTTCTGGAAGAAGTGTGACATGGATAATGTGAAGCCAAAAAGCATTCCTCTTACCTCTGACCTTTTTGCTTGGCTGTCTGTAGCCAGACAGGCTCTTCCAGCCGTCCCAAAGCTTTGATCTTCGTGGCTGGGATGTGGTGCTTGGAACATGACGCGTGTGCTGGGCTCAGGTGCCTCTCTCAGGAAGAGTGTTTAGCAAAAATAATGTTTTGGCCAGGTGACCTCAGAAGTCTGTGGCTGGTTTGGATGGTGGCAGTCAATGCAAATAAGTATTTTTGGGCCTGTCTGGCTTTTGACTGAAGCTGAGTGCATTGCAGCAAGGGCATCTAGATGTTAAAATGCCTTTAAACATGAGCAGTGCAGGTTTCTGTTCTGCCATGTCCTCTTTGCTGCTTTGGGTCATGCAGGAATCTTGAGTGCCTTGCACTGGGTTTGTTTGGTGCTGAAAGGAAGACCCTGCTGTGTAGTTTGGCTGAAGGAATCATTCAGTAAGCTCTTTGTAAGCTCAAACCTAACTCTCCCAAGGAATAGTGTGGTCAGTGGGCCTGGCAGTGCCAGGGGATCCCTGCCCAGCTCCATGTGCAGAGCCCACCGTGGGGGGAACTGCAAACTGAGCGACTCACGGGCACTTCCTCCAGCTGCATTGGCCAAGGCTGGGGCTGATAAGTAAAATCCATCTTTCTAAGGAGTTTCCTTCCATCTGAAAGGAGGAGAGCTGCAAGATGGCATTTCTGACGTGGCTTGCTCTTGCCAGATGCTCTGCTGAGCACAGGCCTGCCTCTGTCTGCAGCACTCAGACTGGAATGGTTGTTACACGTGGATTTTCCTTTTGTGGCAAACGGTTTCCAAACCAAACCAGTGTCTTTGTGTGCAGAACCACACTCACTTTGAGTGTAAAATGTTCACAGCTGTACTATTTATTAAACTGAGTTTTTCTTTCCTACCATGTAAGTTTTCCGACACTTGTGATGTGGAGGGATACAGTTCTGCTTGGCCAAAGCCTCAGAAGGGAGTTTGTCTATATGGGGCATTTTGAGGGGGAAAGAACCTCTGGATTGTTTTGGAAAGGCCTTGACAGCAACAAAACCTCAAAGCTGAGGCCAATTCAGGACTCATTCATGAAAACTTGGTTTTGTTTGTCTGGAGTTTCCCTTGTTACAGATGGATTTTTAATTTCTTTGCCAGTTGACAACTTCAGCCAAGCCACTGAGTGTGTGGGTTTTCTGAGTGTCTCCCTCCCTCCCTCCTCTTGCTTACATGTGGCAAGCTAATCTGTGGACTGTGGGTGCCCCAGATTCAACCTTTTATTCCTCTAGTTGGACAAAATAAGTCTTACTCGGAAGAAAAAGAGAAAATTATGTGGCTTAGTCAGTATAACTTGAGTGCTGACACAGCCAGGGGAGGGTGGGCTGTGGGAGCTGGTGTGATGCTCTGGAAGCTCTGCCTGGAGCCCAGGTGAGCTGTAACACCTGCCCAGGTGAGCTGTAACACCTGCCCACGTTATGCAAACCCTGGGATTTAGGGGAGGAGATGAGAACAAAACAAGCTGAGTAAGCAGACTGCAAAAAGCCACTGGGGAAGGTTTGTTATGAGCTTAATTCGAACTCTGAGCTCCTCATGTGCCACCTGCAGAGCCCCAGTGTGGGGGAGCAGAGCAGGACAAGGGTGTCTGGGGCACTGGGGCTCACCCCGTGTGCCTGTTTGTCCCAGCTCACCCCGTGTGCTGTTTGTCTGATAGGAGGGCAGGTGGTGAACCTGATGAACCAGCGCCTGCAGACCGGCTTCTCCGAGAGCGAGGTCCTGCAGATCTTCTGTGACACCTGCGAGGCCGTGGCCAGGCTGCACCAGTGCAAGACCCCCATCATCCACAGGGACCTGAAGGTGAGCTCTGCACTCCAGGGACCAGCAGGGAGTGTCGGAATAACCCAGGATGTGGGGGCACTTTGGGATATAAGGAAGATGTTAAGCCCTTAGAGAGTGTCCAAAGGAGGCAACGAGGATGGGGAAGGGCCTTGATTTGAAGCCCTGTGAGGACACTGAGGGCACTTGGTGTGTTCAACTGGAGAAGAGGGGACTGAGGGGAGACCTCACTGCAGTTCCAACTCCCTGAGGAGGGGCAGAGGAGGGGCAGGGACTGAGCTCTGCTCTGGGGGGACCAGGGACAGCACCCAGGGAATGGCTGGAGCTGTGCCAGGGCAGGGTCAGGTTGGATCTCAGGGAAAGGTTCTTCCCCCAGAGGCTGGTTGGGCACTGACCAGGCTCCCCAGGGCAGTGGGCACAGCCCCAAGGCTGCCAGAGCTCCAGGAGGGTTTGGATGATCCTCTGGGGCACAGGGGGTGACTCTTGGGGCTGGGCCTGTGCAGGGCTGAGGGTTGGACTGGATGATCCTTGTGGGTCCCTTCCAACTCAGCACATTCTGTGATTCTGTGATCCTCACTGTCTGCCTGCTGCCTACGCCAGTACCAGTGCTGTGCTTCCCTCCTTAGTAATGAGGAAAAGTGGGCATGAATACACCTCTCTATTGGAAGATAAAAAAAGAAATGAGCCTCTCATTGCTGCTCACCATATGTTTACCATCTATAGATCTCTTTAAACACAAATGTTTGTGAATAATTCTGGTTTGCACACGTGCCAGAGTGTACTTGATGAATTATTCACAGTGACTTTCTACCCCCTGAAACGCCCTGGATGATTTAAGGTTGTTCACAAAAAGTATGCTATGAGGTTGTTACCTGGACCCACATTAAAAGGAGGTGTTGGCCTTGGGGCAGGAGTTGTTAGGAGCTTTTGGAACTGGCCTCTAGAGCTCTGACCATGAAAGTGTGTTGTAAAACTGTGCATGCTTAGCTGGGAACAGGGCTGGGCCTGCAAGGAGAGCTTGGGAAAAATCCCATGCCTGTAATCAAGCAAACAAAAAGATGTTCCCTTTCCTCTCAACGAGCTTGTAAAATGCCGGAATAAAATATTCAGCCAAGAAGGAAGGAGGCTGCTGAGCAGATTTGAAATTCAGATGTGCTTTGTGGGGCAGGTTCTATTTTCAGAGCCCTCACAGATGTTTGTTTGTGCCGCACTGTTTTGTGGGAGCCAAAGATGCCCCGCGTGCCAGGGAGAGCCAGGTGGGGCAGGGGCAGGAATCCTCGGGGTCTGGGGTGGGTTGGCACGTTTGAAGTGACGGGGACCCCACTGCTCAGTCGGTTTGGACAGAGAAATAACTCCTGTGTGTGTTTTTCCAGAGGGAAACAGGTGGTCTCCTATCAGTTTGAGGCCTGGGTTTAGAACTGGTAAAGTCTGTGGGCATCTTGCAGAAGTTTGTGTAGGCCAGGAAAACTGGGATGAGAGGATGAGGAACCTCATCCTCTGAGGAACAGGAACCTCTCCAGCTGACATCAACCCCTGCCGTTACCTTTCTAGTGAATCCCTGGGGTTTTTCACAAAGAACAAACTCACTGTGTGGCCTGGGAATGAATCTGGGACATCTGTGCTGGGTTAGTGAGTTGAGTGTTACTTTCTGCCCTGAGTTGCAGTTGAAATGGGCTGTTGGGGTCTGATAGCCAGCTCCCACTGCCTAGATCGGGGAGGTTTTGCGAGGCCTGGCTCTTGGTAAGCTGTGCCCAGAGTCAGAGTTGGCTCTTCTCTGCTTGGAATCATTTTCTGGTTGAATAGTGTATTATTTCTGTCGTGGGGACCTCTGGGGATCTAGGCACGAATGCAGAATTAATGATTTATATATATTTTGACTTTATTTGAGTTAAAACTGTCAAGGGGGAGTTGCAAAGCCAAGAGAGACTAAGGGCCAAAGAAGATCTGTACAGGCTCTGAGTGTAAGGAGGGTGTCCATCCTTAGGTGTTTTCTTGGGGTGAACATAACCCTGCTGAAGAGGGGGCAGATGTTGATTTTGGAGGCTGCTGCCTGGGGGTTGGAGGCCTTTTGTTGCCTTGCAGCTCTTTGATGTGTCTCTGGTGCTGGAGGTTCCTGCCAGCAGCAGGGATCCTGTGAATGAGCTCTCAGCCCTTTCAGACAAGCGCAGCTGGAGGAGTCTCAGTGGCCTGTGGCTCTGGTTTTGAATTAACCCAACAGCCTTTGCCTGAAGCAGAACCACCTCCTGTTGGCACAGTCTCCCTGGTGGGAAGTGACCGAGGGACAACAGCACCTTTCCCCAGAGTTTCTGTAGGCAAAAGGGGCCATCTCACTGCGAGTGAGGGCCACGAGAGGATCCCCTGTCACCCCTGTGTGTTAAGGTTTTCCTGCCTGGTCTGAGTAACTCAGGTGCTGTGCCAGCTGCCAGTTCAGGCTGGGATGTTTCATTTCTTCTGCTTTGGTTGCCACAAAACCAGGTGTATATTGATGCAGCTTTTTCCCTAAAATGCAGAAGCCTCTTGTGTGCTGCTGGTGCCCCAGTCCGGACCCCTCTGAGGAGGATTCACTGGCAGTATAATCTTTACTGCTTCTTGCAGGGACTTTCCTCACCCTTAGGGTTCATGGGCCGCTGCTGCTGCAGGCCAGTCCTAAAAGGTTTATTTTTGTTCTCCTTTCTGGGGTAAGATCAATTCCTGTATCTTTAGTTTAGGCCTTCTGACAGTGCAGAACAAATGGCCAAACCTTGTGGCAATCTGTTATATCACCCTGGCTGGGAAGTCTCTGCTGCTGTGTTGGAATCTCGGTAAGAAGCTAGACCTGTCAGACCCCAGAGGAGCAGGGTTTAGTGAGGTGGAGGAAGGGCAAAATCTGCCTAGGGCTGATGATCCTGATTTACACAACTACCCCGTACCTGGGGCAGTTGTTTGCGTGGCTTGTTTTATATTTAACCTCGTCTTTCCAGTCTCACATCTCATAACTCCTGTTGTTCAGAGCACCAACTTGGAACCAGCTTGGATTTCTGCAGGGAGAGGTCTCCCATTTCTACCTGTGGTGCTTCTGGTGGTCTGAACCCCCCAGTTCCAGGAGCAGGTGACTGGATGGCAGATGAGCAGATGATTTCCCTTGTAGCAGCTACACAGCAGGATGCACCAAAAACTGTGTCAGGCAGCCCAGAGGATGCTGTTGATGCAAACCTCTTTCTCCTTTCCTTCCCCTACTTTCTGCAATGCCCAGGGGGTTGTGCTCTCAGGATAAGGCTTTAGTTTCACCTGCTTTCCTCTTAGCCCTTGTGTGGTGTGATCAGACAGTCCCACTGTGCTGCTGTCACCTCTCTGCCTTCCATCACTCTTTGGAATGCCAAGTCTTGCCCTGATGCCACCAACAAGCCTGGGATTTGTTTGGCTGGATCTGTTGAGTGTGATATGTAGAATTGTTCAGTCCTGTAGTGGTAAAACCCTCCTGTTGGCCATGTTTGGAGTGTTCCTGTGCCAAAATCAGTCAGTGCTCTGAGGTGCCACGTGGCTTTTGCTCCGTGCCAGGAAATGCTCCATGAGCTGTCAGAGGGGAACAGTGAGCGGTGCCAGGGGAGAAAGGGCAGTTGAAACATCTCTGAAGAGATCTGAAGGTGCTGGAAAGCAGTCAGGAAGTGTGCCCTGGTCATGCATCCCTCCCAAATCACCACCTGAGCTTAGGAATACTCGCCTTAAAGCCCTCGCTCTCAGGAGAGGGTAATGGGTGTTAAATTTACTACTTAAAGCCCCAGTCCTTATCCTTTCCCAGCATGTCTGTGCAGGGGGTTTTATACTTTAGTTCTGTTTTAGCAAAGAAGCATTTAGTTTGGAAAGACTGAAGCTACGCTCTGTAACCAACAAAACTTAAAGCAACTCATTGTTTCCCTTAAAGGTTTTTGTTTGGGGTCTAAGTCTGACTTTGTGTCGAAGGTTGCAGCCAGAGTTGTAAATGCTCAGCAGTGCTGGGAGCTGGAGTGCAGCTTTTTGGGAGTTTGACCAGAAGAAGACACCTCCATACTCCTTTAAAGACACTTTTCTCTGGCCTGGCAGGCAGTAGCAGTGATTCATGAGCTTTGTTTTGCTGTATTTATTTTTTCCTTTTGCTGGCAGTTACTGACCAAACCTGGTTGCTGGATAGTCCAGTGCTGACGTTTAACAAACCTTGCAGGATGTTTCAGTGAAAAATCACCTCAGATTTCTCAACCAGATAAAGAGGGAGGACTCTTCTGGCAATGCTTGAGGAGTATTTGCAGCGAAGAGGGAATAACAGTCAGTGTGGATGTGCTGGGGAGAACATCTGTGTGCAGTGCTTTATTCAAAGCAGATGGATGGCAGGGGGAGAAGGGGGGTGTTTAACCCTTGGTTCCAAGCCAGCCTTCTCCCCCTCAGCTGCTCTAATTTGGCTGTGTTTTCTGATGCTTAAAATGCTGACTCCTCCTTTTTCTTTCCTTCTTGTAAGGCTCATCCTTGATGGGGAGCTCCACTTCCAAAGGGTTTTGTTAGCAAACGCTTATGTGGGGTTTTTTCTGAACTGTGTGAGCAGTGTGTCTTATCTCGCTGTTGTATCTGAGCATTTGACACTGATTGAAGATAAAGACATGAAAAATTGTGTGTTCCCTCGAGAGAACATGCTGTTAATGCCTCTGTACAGATGAGGAGTGGGAACACAGGGCTGCTCTGCCAAAGCAGAGATCTGAACCCAGGGTTTTACACGTTTTAAGTCTGTGTTGAAACATTCAGGCAGTTTGCTAGGTTTTTGTTAATGCATGATTAAGTGTGAGTATTGAGGGAAAGGCAGTGTTTCTGCTGATTTTATTTATTTTTTCAACTGTCCCTGGTGTTTGTTTCAGTAGTTGTTTCAGTTGCCTGATATAATATTTGAAGGGAAAGGGATCATCTCAGCAGCCTGGAGGAACCTTGGCTGTTCCAGCCCCTGTTCAGGGACTGTGGGGTACCCAACACCTTCTGAGAAGGGGCACCTAAAGTGTGAGCATTTTGGAACGAGACCCTCAGGGACAGGGGGAGTGCAGGCAACGGCCTAGAGATGTGTTTGAATTTCATACAGTACAGAAGTGTGTGTGCTGTGATGTGTTTGCCTCTTCTCTGTCCCGTGGACAGCCCTTTGCACAGCTGGGGACAGTTGGATTTGCTGTTCCCCGTTCAGATGCCAGAGCAGGGGCACAGCAGCACAAGGACACTGAGCACCAGAGATGCCAGGCCACTGTTCTTGTCCTGGTAGTCCTGGCAGAGGCAGAAGTGTGCTTGCAGGAGGAGAAGGGGGGGGGTGGCAGGATGGAAGGCAGTGTTACAACTGTGCTTCCATCATTTGACTTCTATTTTAGGGGCTGTGACAGAGGCTCGATGCCTGTTTGCTTTGCTGTCGTGTTACGCCTTCAGATGTGTCTGAGATGTCTTCAGGCACTGAAAACCTTGGCTTGTGGAAAAAAAACCCGGAATATTTTTTGTGTCTGAGTGACTCTGTGTCTGTCTGTGACGCTTGTAGGTTGAAAACATCCTGCTGCACGACCGTGGCCACTATGTCCTGTGTGACTTCGGGAGTGCCACCAACAAATTCCAGAACCCCCAGACGGAGGGGGTGAACGCGGTCGAGGAGGAGATCAAAAAGTAAGTGTGCTTTGCCTTTTCAGCTCGGGCCTAGTTTGTGTTTGAAGGATAATTTTGTCTTGTGCTGGGATTAATTCTGCTCAGGCCTGCTGCAGCAGCTTGGCCGTGCTGCATGGCAGTGTGTGCTGCAGGTAAATGAGTGCCCGGGGGAAGGTGGAACAGTAAATTGAGTTTGATGTAATTGCTTTGGAGCTGAAGGACTGAGCGTGTAATGCAGAGGAGCTGCCCCACCTTGCAGGCAGTGACCTGTTCTGTTCTGTGTGGGGTCACTCTGTCTCTGTCCTTCATCTCTCTTGGTTCCTTTGAGCTGCCAGGCAGGGATGACACAATCCCTGTCCTTCCTCACAAACCCGTGCAGTGACTCAGGGCCCCATCTCGGCTCTGCATGGGAAGTGTCAAGCCCTGGAAGGGGTTTAATCCAGCTCCTTCTCCTGTCCCAGCCGCAGCCAGCTGTCCTGGCAGCATCTGGTGCTCCTGGGTGCTTCTGCAAAGGGGGCTTCCCTTGCAGTTCAGCAGGACCTGGATTAGGGATGCAGCACACTCCTGGTCCTTGGTCTTGCTTTAGTTTTAACAACATCACTGCTGCCAACTTGCCACCTCTGTCAGTACAACATCCTGGCTGGTTAGAGATGTGTGCAGAGCCTCCTTTTTGTTAGAATGCAGCTACACCTGCTTGGATTTCCTAGATTTGTTTGTTTGGAGTCATCAGAGCTCTCCTAATCCAGTGTTGCAGTCCCTTTGGAATGCCCTGTTTGTACCCTTAAGCCTACAAAACCTCTGCCTTTAGTGATGCTTTCCTGTGATCAAGGTAAGCAGCAGGCAAAGTGCCACAGCAGAAATCACAGACTTGCTGATAGGAAATCTCATCAGGAGAGTCTCTTAAACTCTGGTGCAGTTTCCAGCTGTACTGTTTGTGGGGATCTGATCAAATGAGGCAGATTCCAGCTCTGGTTTGAGGTACACAGTGGCCCCTCCCTTGCTTACAGTGGCTCTGAGCAGGAGTCCTGGTGTGAAATCTGTTTTTTAGGAGCCACATATCCAGTTACAATCTGTGATACAGTTGGCCACAGCCCTGCAGTGAGGACACTGCAGAGGACAGTTGATTACTGACCTTGTTAATACTTTGCATCCTTGAATATTTCTGTTGTAGTTCTTAAAATGACTGTGCATTTTTGTGAGTGAATTCCTTGTTTTAGAATGGATTGTGGTTACTGTTTTGGCTTTCCAGGGCAGTTTGCAGGGGTGTTTTACTGTTAGAGGTAGAGGTAGTGTTTGAGGTATGTAGCACATGATGCTGTTAAAGATTTTTTTAAATAGATATCTTTAGTATCTTTTTCCCTAGAATGAATAGGGAAAGAGAGAATTTGGATGTATTTGGAACTGTGACACAGTGAAAATGCCTCTGATACCCCTTTTGAGCTCCCTGATGGATGTTTCTCTGCAGGTACACTACGTTATCCTACAGAGCACCAGAGATGGTCAACCTGTACAGTGGCAAACTCATCACCACAAAAGCAGACATATGGGTACGTATGGAAACCACTGACACCCCCAGCCAGGCTGCAGCTGCTTCACTGCCATGAGGGCACGGAAACTGGGCTAACCTGCTTTCCTGAAGAGCCTGGGCATTTCTGAATGAAGAGTTCCTCTGCTGATGTGTCTGAGTTCCTGCTGAGCAGGGGGGCTGCTGGATGAGATGTGTGTGCTCCTCTCGTGTGGTTTGAATTTATGTATGAAGCTCCAGGATTGAACAGGGCAAACCTGATTTCGTATCTGAAGAGTTAAAGCAGAAAATTTGGAATATTTTAGTTTCTCGTGCCTGGGTTGGGGTGTAGGCATGTGAGATAGAGGTTACTGTTCAGAACTGAATAGAAACCCGAGCAAATGGACCTGCTCCCTGCAGCAGGAGTGGGTGATCCTGTGTAACACAGGGCTGAGTTGGCAAACTGGCCAAAGGCCAAACTCCTGCACTGCTATTCCTGCTGATCAGGGCAATCCTGCCGTGCTCTTCATGGCGAGAGCAGAATCCAGCTGGAGTGGAATCCATTCCTGGCTAACCTGATCCAGGGTGGAAGGCTTCCCTTCGGGTGGGACAGTGGTGGAAAAGAGTCTGTGCTGTTTGGAGCGCAGAGGCAGTTCAGCAGATGTGTCTGGAAGTGTTTAAAGTGGTAACTGGGAGCGTGTTTGTGTGGTTTCTGGAGCCCTGAGCTAGGAAGTAACACAGCAGAAGCAGAAAAAGGGTTTTGATGCACGATAGCTGTGCATGTACAAGAGGGAAAATTGCTGGTGTGACACCTGCTGGGAAGAGTCCCCTGCTCTCAGGGAGCTCAGCTGGAGTTGGGAGCAGCAGCTCCTGTGGGAGCACATTTCAGCAGGAATCTGTGGGATCAGGCACAGCACTGGGTGGGAGTGGAGAGGGAAGGTCCAGCTGTGAAAGGACAGTCTGGGCCTCAGAGGCAGCCTGAGGAGAGCCAGGATTTGCACTCCTTCCTCTGATAATGGGAAAGGTGGAGATCCAGGGGCTCTGCTCTTCCTGGCATGGCAGGAATTCTGTTCCTGTGACCCTTGGAGTGTCCAGACCAGTGTGTGTGTTGGTGGGCATAGGGAGCCTCAGCTTCCAGTCCTGTTCCAGTGCTTGTCCTGCTGCAAACCTCCCTTCCCTTCAAACCTGCTGAGGTGATTGTAAACCAGAGAGCAGTTGAATGGAGAAACCCTGTGACAGAGGAGATGAGCTGATGATGAGTAGTTTAGGATTAGGAAATGTTTCCTGTTCTCCCCTCTGAGGTGGTGGGAGTGTTTCATAATTAGCCCTTTGTGCAGAAATTGTGTTTTCTTTTGCAATAGGTGGTGGTTCTTGCTGCCAAAAGCAGCACGGCAGTGGAGGGAAGGGTGGTACAGCCTGGCAGGCTGCAGAATGAGCTGTATTTCCCTGGCATTTATTTAGAACAGCTGAAAGGTTGTTTGAACTTAAGCTTGGAAACAGTTTGGGCTTCTCTTTGTCAGAATAAATGTATTAATGATGATGGTTGCCATTTATTTGTGCTGTTCCTTTGCTTTTTCCTCTGTGTGTGGCAGAAAGAGGCTTTGCCTGCTCAGTGACATGAAGGGCTGTGCTCTGCGGAGCCGTGTGGGGCTGATGATACACAGTCCCCCAGAGCAGTGTCTCCCTAACAGGGGAGAGCTGAGCTCTCCATGGGTGTGTCCTGCCCTGTACCCGTGTTCCAGGTCCATCCCAGGGGTGCTGGGTGCAGGCCTGACATCACACAGGACTTGGATACCCAGACCGGAGCCCCCTCCCTGTCTGTGCCGTGGTGTTTGAGCTGTGCTTGGCTGTTTGCTCAGTCCCTGCTCTGTTCTCTCTCCCCAGGCCCTTGGCTGTTTGCTGTACAAGCTGTGCTACTTCACCCTGCCCTTTGGGGAGAGCCAGGTGGCCATTTGTGACGGCACCTTCACCATCCCGGACAACTCGCGGCACTCGCAGGACATGCACTGCCTCATCCGTGAGTGTCTGACAGGGACAGGCAGCTCCCACGGGGCCAAAACCCAGCACAGGTGTTCTGTTCTCATGTTCCCTGCTCCCACAGGAAAACCAGCAGTTCTCCTCTCCTTTTAGGAGACTTGCTTGCCCAGGGGTTGGTTAAAGTGATCTTTTAGAAGCTTAGGAGATCACTCTTGGAGGGCCAGCTGTGACAAAGGGGTTTCTGTTTGGCCAGGCTGGGGTGAGCTCTGGGGAAGGGCAGGAACACAGACAACCGTTTGGTTTGAGTCCTACAGGAACTTGCACAATAAGCCTATTTATGCAGAAACGTATTTCTCCAGTAATAAATCTGTTTGGATAAGGAACTGAAAAGAACCACAGTGACTTAGACTAGTGATAAGAATTCATCTTCTGTGAACTGGGAAGCAGAACTGAAATGATTTATAAATAACCCACTGACTAGAGTGAATGTGTAATTAAGTGTACAATGCACTACTCTTGGCAAAGCTGGGGCAGCTCTCTTGTTTCCAGCACAGCATTTGATTTTTTCTCTTCCTAGCCACAGTCTTGACTCACGCAGAGTTGGATGTGTTTGCAGAGCAGCCTGCTATTTTCTTTGCTCATGTGGGGTATCTGTGCAGTGGTGTCTGTGGCTGCCTTGTCCTCCTGCCCCCCTGACACACCGGGGCTGGATCAAGCTCTTCTCCCGTGGGTTTACTGGGAAGTACAAAGTCAAACCCAGTTGCTATTCCCTGAGCAGGCAGCATTTCCCCTCCTTGCCCTGGAGGCAGATTGGTCATAGCTGTGTTGGAAAACGTGTCCTGGTCCATCCTGGCTGTCTGTCCTGCCCCGTTCCCAGCTGAGCCCACAAGCAGCTCAGCCCTGCTGAGCCCTGACCTGACCAGGTGCTCTGAAGGAGGCAGAGCACCCTGTTAGCCCTGCTTGTACCAAATGTACAATCATGGAGTGGTTTGGGTTGGAAGGGACCTTAAAACCATCCAGTCCCACCCCCTGCCACGGGCAGGGACACCTTCCACTGTCCCAGGTTGGTCCAAGCCCTGTCCAGCCTGGCCTTGGACACTCCCAGGGATGGGGCAGCCACAGCTCCTCTGGGATCCTGTGCCAGGGCCTCCCCACCCCAATCCTGAGAAATTCCTTCATTCTGTGCAGTCTGAGGAGCTGCCACAGCTGGCTCATTTGCATCTGTCTGCTCTGTTTCTGATGTCACATCTCTGCCTCTTCCAGGCTATATGCTTGAGCCAGACCCTGATAAGAGACCTGACATTTATCAGGTCTCCTACTTTGCATTCAAACTGGCAAAGAAGGAGTGCCCAGTGCAGAACGTCCAGGTGAGCAGAGGGGGGGACTGAGGGAGGCCTCTGTGGGAGGAGACTGGGGAGCAGCTGCTCAGTGCTGAACATTTTGCTGTGTTCTGTAGGTTGTTCCCCAGTTCTGTAATTAGGAGAGTAGGTTTTTTTGTGTTTGTAATTATCAGTGCTGTTTGATTTAGATTTTGGGAGGATGAGGGCAGGAATCAGGGTTTTTCATATGTTACTTATTCCTGTTTGTCCCTGATTTACCTCCTCACCCAGTCACCAAGTGTGAGGCCAACCAAGAGATCTTGTGCATGTGAACATGGAAAATTAGGCCATGCTTGGGAAACCAATTTGATTTCCAGGCACACTCGTCACAGCGTGTGTAGTTTGGGTGCAGCTGGGTTTAAACACAGCAGTTTGGGGTCTGTTGGCTGGCTGGGACTTGTATTTCAGTTGCATCAGTCCTTGCACAGCCATCTGCCCCTTAGAGGGGGCAGATGTGTTCTTAGAGGCTTAACTGAAAAATAGAGTTGACAGTTATTTTCTTACGGTGTTGTGGACACCTGTGACAGACATTTTATTTTGTTGTTTCCAGGTAAATAGAAACCTGCTTTTATCTCCCCATGTTCAGGTGGTTATTTATGGTCTTTATGAATAAGAGATGGTTTTGGTACTATTATGCCTGTGTTTTATAGCATTATTAATAAATATTGTTGCTGTTGTCCCCCAGGTTTTCTTTTAAAAATGCCCAGGTTGTGCTATGAACCTTTGTGTTCGTGTTCCCTGTGTAGTAAATGGTCAAAAAGATGAGCCTTTTCTTTCCCCCCTTGTAAAGACTCTCCCAATCTACTGTCTTCCCATGACATGAACTTTGAGGAGTTTGTCGTGTGTCCAGCATGAGGAAAAATTGCTTTGGGGATCCCCCAATCTCCCTGTTTTATTATGATGCTTTTGCAAATTATTTCTGACTCTGTTTTCTGCCCTCACAATACCAAATTGGGTGTTTTTGGGATCTGCAGAACTCTCCAATCCCTGCTAAACTCCCAGACCCGGTTAAAGCAAGTGAAGCTGCTGCAAAGAAGAGTCAGCCCAAGGCCAGGTACCCCCTGCTTTGTGCTCCCCTCTGTGTTGTGCCTGTCGTGTCTCTCTGTTGATCAGCAGGGGTGTGTTTGCTGCTCCCCTGGGGACAAACACCACGGTCCTGAGAGCAGGAACGACCCCGGGCTCTGATCTGAGGGCAGCAGATGCGTATATGGGGGGTTTGTCTGCAGGGGGTGGGATTTGGGGGATGTTCAGCAGGACTCAGCAGCTCTCTGTGCCCCAGGCACTGCTCCACAACAGCTCCTGGAGCTCCTGCACCTGGATGGATCCAGCATGCCATCCTTCCAGAGCCACGGGAATACCTGAGAGCAGAGTCAGGGCAGAGACTGCAGCAGGCCTGGAATGGCCTCGGAGAACACAGATCTGCTGAGAGACTCAGCAGGGACTGTGGCTGAGTCTGACCCTCGACAGACCATAACCTGAGCCAGGAGTTACCGCACGAAATGACTGGGATTTCTGCAAGAGTCCTGTAATTCCTCTGGGGGAAAACACAAAAGCCCAATTGCTTCCATCTGAAGCGCTCAGTTAGTGGGGAAACCAGTGTACTCTGAGGGTTTTGTCCTCTCCTGCTGCTGCTTGCTCTGCTTGTGCTTCTGTGATTGAGACTTGTAAATTGTGTTGGACAAAGCTCGGGTGTGATTTTGGTGCAGAGTGAGCAGTGCACAGTGGGCACTCCAAACCCAGCTGCTCTCCTCAGACTCTGAAATGGGATGTCTCCCGTCTGCCAGTCCCAGCACGGTGTTTGGGTTCGTAACTGAGGGCAGTTACTCTCACTTTGGTCAGGTCAGTTAGGTGTCAGGAACAATCTCCTATCATAGCCACTGTATCCACAGAAGGACAGGGGCTGCTTCTCTCTCCTGCTCTGCATTTTTGGAGCTCAGTAAACTCAGAGGAGTCCAATGACCCGATTCTGGGGTAAATGTACCAAAGTTAAGGTGCATCTAAAGATGGCAATTTAGACAACCCTGCCCAAAGGTACCAGCTGCTCCGGAGCTGATTTGTGTCCTTCATCTGCTCCCTCAGAACTCTGAGTGGATTTAACAATATGTTGTATCAAATATTTGAATGAACTGAGTGGTTTTGACAAGTCCCAGCTGTCCAACAGGAGAAGATGCCACAATTGGCAGAGAAGTCAGAGCGACAGTGTTGGGTTAATTGTTGTGAGTGCATCTGGGAGGTTTTGCTGTGCGTGGTGTGTCCAGATGCCCACAAGTGTTTCCCCTTTCCTGGGCACACCCAGCTGGAGTGTGGAGGAGTGTTTAACCTGCTGTGTATTCCATGCACTGGCTGTGCTCTCAGTGCTCTCCTTTTCTTCCTCCCAGGCTCACAGATCCCATCCCCACGACAGAAACATCCATAGCCCCCCGGCAGAGACCTAAAGCAGGGCAGACCCAGCCCAACCCTGGGATCCTGCCCATCCAGCCAGCCCTGACGCCCAGGAAGAGACCCACGGCCCCGGCAGCCCTTCAGCCCCAAGGTGAGGCCGCTCTCTCCCCCTGTGCTTCCTGTGGGCCCTGTGCCCCCCAGGGCTGTGCTGCACCTCGATCTAACACCCTTTTGGGTTTTCTGTCCCAGCTGCAGGCCCGGCTGCCCTGGGCAGTGCCCAGCCTTCGCTCCCTGCCAGCACCCCCCAGCCCAAAGCAGCCCCCCAGCAGCCCCCGGCCCAGCCCCAGGCCAAGGCAGCGCCGGCCCCGGCCCCGCAGGCACAGCCCCAGGTCCCCTCAACACAGCCCCAGGCCACCCCTCAGCATCAGCAGCAGCTTTTCCTGAAGCAGCAGCTCCTGCAGCAGCAGCAGCAGCAACAAGCTGCCTACTACCAGCAGCAGCAGCAGATGATGCAGGCGCAGCAGGTGGGTGAGCGCGGCCGGCTCGGTGTGTGCCCGCAGCGTCTGCAGGGCTGAGTCCTTGTATTTATGGCGTTTTACAGAGGTATATTATGTTGGGGGGGGGATAGGGGCAGGTTTTAGGCATTTTCCAGTGCATCCCCAGTTCTCCAGTAAGATTTGCTCTCTACAGCTCCCTGAAACGAGGTTGCAGTGAGGTGGGTGTTGGTCTCCTCTGCTGCGTCTCCAGTGAAAGGACGAGAGGAAACGGCCTCAAGCTGTGCCAGGGGAGGTTCAGATTAGATATTAGAAGAAAGGTTTTTCACTGAATGAGTGGTCAGGTCGTGGAATGTGTTCACAGTTGGACTGAATGATCTTGAAGGTCTCTTCCAGACTTGATGATCCTGTCCTACACAAGACTGGCATTTTTAGCTGTCAGTGTGGAAGGCCTTGGGATAGTTTTGTCATGTACAAACATAAAATCAGTGGTGCTGGTTGAGATGTTACAGCTCCAAGTGTTTCAGGGTCTTGAAACACTTCAGTGCTCAGCTGATGAGCAGAGGGTACAATTTATGTCCTTTTTGTGCTTCCAGAAGCCTGGGGTGCCTTTTCAAGGGTAAGATTTGGTCTGGTTTTTGGTAGACTGTGGTGATAAGAAGGTCTGTGAACACATGATGTATTACACAGAGATGACACTCACATGCTTATCTGAGGTGTTCATAGCAGCACAGATCTCTGCTAAAGGATGTTTAACAGTGGAAGCAAAGGAAGTCTGAATCTTCCTATCCTGGGGAAAGGATGTGGACCTGTTAGAGCAGGTGCAGAGGAGGCCATGGAGATGATCTGGGGGCTGGAGCCCCTCTGCTCTGGAGCCAGGCTGGGAGAGCTGGGACTGTTCACCTGGAGAAGAGAAGGCTCTGGAAAGACCTTAGAGCCCCTTCCAGGGCCTAAAGGCAGCTTATGAAAAGGGGGGAGAGGAAGTTTTTATACAGGCAGAGTGTGACAGGGAAAATGGTTTTAAACTGACAGAGGATGGGGTTAGACTGGATGTTAGGAAGAAACTCTTGGCTGTGAGGGTGGAGGGGCCCTGGCACAGGTTGCCCAGAGAAGCTGTGGCTGCCCCATCCCTGGAAGTGTCCAAGGCCAGGTTGGACGGGGCTTGGAGCAACCTGGGCTAGTGGAAGGTGTCCCTGCCATGGCAGGGGATGGGACTGGATGGGGTTTACAATCCCTTCCAACCCAAACCATTCCATGATTCTGTGAAAGGTTTAGAGTCAATAAATGTGGAGGAGGGAGTTTGGGAGCACAGGACAGTCTGTGCCAGGGGAGCTCCATGAGTTTGGGAGCACAGGACAGTCTGTGCTGGGGGAGTTTGGGAGCACAGGACAGTCTGTGCCAGGGGAGCTCCATGAGTTTGGGAGCACAGGACAGTCTGTGCCAGGGGAGCTCCATCTGGGCAGGGGTAGCAGGGACAGGATCTGATTTCAGAGCAGGAGGCCGTGTCCCACCACCCCTCTGCAGGGGGTCTGCAGCCACTTGCAGTGCCTGTAAGCAGTGCTGTGCTGGCCCCCAGTCCTGCTGGTGGTTCCCAGTTCCCAGGCACACCTCAGGCACCTCAACCGCCGGTTGTTTCCCAGTTCCCAGGGATGCAGCAAGGAGCCCCTGCACAGCAGCAGCTCATGCAGAACTACTACCAGCAGCAGCAGCAGCAGCAGCTGATGGCCCAGCAGGCAGCCATGCAGCAGAAGACAGTGGCAGCAGCTCAGCAGAAACAACAGAGCCCGGCCCAGCCCCAGGCCCAGCCCAGCACGGCCCAGCCTGCACAGCCACAGGAGCAGGTGGGAGAGCCTGGGGGAAGGGATGGGGCACTGGGATCTGGGGAGAGCCCTGTGGAAAGGAATGGGGCAGTGGGATTTGGGGCACTAGCAAGTGCTCCTCTGCCAGGTCCTGTATGCTGGGTATGTGCCACATCCAGCTCTTTTTGGACCCACAGAGCCCAGGCAGTAAGTGCCAGGGGAGAATTACATTGGATACTGGGAGAACTGCTTCACCCAAAGGGTTTTCCAGCCCTGGCACAGCTGCCCAGGGCAGTGGTGGAGTCCCCATCCCTGGAGGGATTTAAGAGACACGTGGATGTGGCACTTGGGGATGTGGGTTAGTGGTGACCTTGGCAGTGCTGGGGAGTGGTTGGATTTGATGACCTTAGAGAGCTTTTCCAACCCAAGCCATTCCATGATTCAGGAGCCTGCTGGCCCCAGTGTGTTCATACTGACGTGTCAGCACTGACCTTGCTGCCTCAGAGATGTGCAGTTGCTTGGATTTCTTTTTCCAGTGGGATGCTGGACTCCAGAGTTGTGCTCTGGGTCCACAGAAAGAAGATGAGTAATGGATGAGTAAAAGCAAATGAGAAGATCTAAGTGGCTGCTTAATGCAGCTTCTCTCCATCCCTACCCTGTCACGTTGCCACAGAAGGCATGTGAGAAACTCTCTTAAAAATTAGTTGTACTTAACACATCAGGATGGGCACCAGGCACAAGGAGTTACTTTAGGTAACTCCTTGTTTGGAAAAGTTCTGTCTGATGTTCAGAGGAAGGCACAAAACAGCTTCCTGGCTGTTTCCAGCACTGAGATAACTTTTTAATGAATGCTATGGGAAGGAGACCTTTCAAAGGAGACTTTTGAAAGCACCGTATCTAAAAATAAATAGATCAATCATCCACTTTACTAATCATCTGAAAGTGCATCCAAAATAAATGCTCTTTACTTGATGGAAAATATGGCCTTGTGCAGGAGGAACCAGCAGCTGCCCACAGGGAGGGGCAGGAGCCTGGAGCCAAAGTGCTCTGCAGAGCTTGTGGGGGGAACCTGTGCCTTTTGTTTCCATTCCTGTGCAATCTGATCCACTTCTGGTTTGGGGAGCTCAGAGGAGTGTCCCTAACTCTAGGGGTGTGTTGGGAGGAAAGCATGGCCAGCAGGCAGGAGGGAGCAGCCCTGTTACTGTGCTGTGCCAGGCTGCAGGGGTACAACAAACAGTATCTGATAACAACCTGCTTCGGGTACTTATCCCTGGAAGTGCTCAGGGCCAGGCTGGACAGGGCTTGGAGCAACCTGGGCTAGTGAGTGGCATCCCTACCTGTGGCAGGGGGTTGGAACAAGATGATCTTAAGGTCTTTTCCAACCCAAACTATTCCATGACTCTGTTCCACACTGTTGGAGCCCAGGCTGAGGGTCACTCTGTGCTTGCTGTTCGTGAGTTGCCAGTGAATTCATCTCTCCAGTGGTTCCTTTGAAGTGACACCAGGAATTCATTTGACTGATCAGCTCCATCAGCCCTGACCTGGGCAGTGCTGGGGGAGCAGTTTGCTCTGCTCCCTGATGTGCCTCAGGGCTCTGTCATGTCCCCCCCTTGCTGTTGCATTTTCAGCCCTAAGCTGGTGCTGTGGGTGGGGGACACTTGGAGCTGTTGTGTTCCTGCTCTTGTTCCTGTTCTGCTGAATGACCCAGGGCAGGTCAGTTTATTGAAGTTGGTGGGAGATTTTCAGCATGTGCAGACAGGTTTTGAGTGAGGCCCATTGTTACCCTGTTCCTTTTAGAGCAGAAGTACCTGAAATGGAGCATTGAATCAGGAGCTTTGCTGTGATTTGCTAGCACAAGAACAGCCTTAATTTTATTAAATCAGCTGGCTTGAAAATGAGCCTTGTTCCCCTGGTAGGCTGATCAGAATGGACACATCTGGACACTTCCACTCCTGCAGTCAGGAGGGAAAAACAGTGGTTGGCTCATTTGAAAAATGATAGTGAGGCCTGGTCTCTGCAGAGCAGAGTCTCTGAGCAGAAGATACCAAGCCAGGACCTGTCAAAACCTTTTCACGTTGGGTGATTTCAGCTTAATAAACTCTGCCTTCACTTCTCTGGTGATTTCAGTGATGCCTTTTTATCTTTCAGCACCAAATGTCCTGTTCTGCAGTGACCTACATAGTGGGATGAGGTGGGTGACCAGGAGAGGCAGGTCAGGGACTGGGTCTGCCAGAAATGCAGAGGAAAAGCAAGAGAGCTCACCATTGTTTGCCTTGTCCTGCTGAGGTTCGGCACCACCCTGCGGGTGTAACTTTCCTGTTGCCCTCTTAGGTCTTTCCAAGTGCTTCATCTTGGTTGGAAATGGCCTGGGAACAGGGAGCCAGGCAGGGGAGGTGACATGCACAGCTTGCTGCTCCTTGCATTCCAGTTTTCCTGCTTTAAATCCAACCATGATACCTCACTGACAGACAGACTGAAAAACCACGCAATCAGACGTGATGCTGTTGTTTATCACTACAAAACCATATTTGAAGTATTTATGGGTTTGTGAGTGTAACACAAGACTGAGGCAATGGAAAAATAAGATCAATGTGAGGAAACCCCTTTCAGTTTCCAAGGGGTTTGTAGGTGGGCTGTCTTGGCTCACACCTAAACCAAACATGCCTGGTTTTCTCCTCCAGATTTTAATGATAAATGGTGCTCCTGTGGTCTTTTGTTTTCTTTTTTTTTTTCCTTCCCCTTAAGAGAAAGTTTTTTGCTCAAGATTTCTGCACAAATCTTCCACCCCCCTTAGGGATTTGGTCCCAGTCACACATTACCTGCTGAAGGCAGTGCTGCCCTTCACCAAATCCCCATTCCCTGTGTCCCCATGACAAGACTCCTGTGCGCTGTGGTCTGATTTCTTGTTTTACCTCTGCTCTGGATCTCTGCCCCTTTGCCTGTGAGCGAGTTTGAGCCCAGCCAGCCTTTAACAGATGCTGATGGAGGCTTTGCCTCCAGAGCTGCACCACAGCAAGGGGAGAAAGTCTCTGCCTGTGGAACTGTGGTAATCCTGAAAGACTGCAAAGCAGCAAATCCCCCCCGCCACGACTCCCCTGCGTGTCTGTTTGTCCCCTCCAGCCCGTGACCCCAGGGTCGGGTCCTCCAGCACGGCCCTGCTTTCCCCTCGAGGCTGCAGCTCCCCAGCGAGGCCGCTCTGCTCTGCTCTCTCCCCAGGCCCAGGCCCAGCTGAGGCAGCAGCAGCAGGCTCAGAGCAGCCCGTCTCCCACGGCCCAGGGGCAGAAGCTGGGCTCCCTGACCCCGCCGTCGTCGCCCAAGGCGCAGCGCGCGGGGCACCGCCGCATCCTCAGCGACGTCACCCACAGCGCCGTGTTCGGCGTCCCCGCCAGCAAGTCCACCCAGCTCCTGCAGGCAGCGGCCGCCGAGGCCAGCCTCAACAAGTCCAAGTAGGTGCTGGGGATGTGGCCTCAGAGGGCAGGGAGGGGGCTGGGGAGCCTCTGGTTGCCTCTGAGGCCTCTGAGATGGAGGCGGGCACGAACCTCTGAGGGCTGAACGAGTCTTTGCCTTCCCAAGAAACCAGCTCAGGGCTTGGCAGAATGTTGCTGAAAAACTTGCCAAGAAGTCCTTCTGGGGCGTTCCACACCCTCCCAAAGCCCAGGGCCTTCCCATGGATCAGCCAGTGTCATTTCAGCTGTTCACCAGTAGCCCTGGTGCACTCCTCACGCTTCCTGTTTGGCATCAGTGCTTCCTAGGAGTTGGACTTGATGATCCTGGAGGTCTTTTCCAACCTTAATGATTCTGTAATTCCCCAGGAGTACTTGCCAGGTCACTTTTGTAGTATCTGCAGGCAAGAAACCTTCACCTGAGCACTGCAGGTGATTGTTTCTAAGGGGATGCTTGTTTTAACCCCTGAGACCAAGATGCTCATCCAGCTGAGGAGCAGCTCAGGCTAAACTGTTCCCGGATTTCTGGACATGCAAGTGCAGCAACTGGTGCTGAGTGTTTCAGTTAGGAAGTAATTACAATGCAGTAGCTTGGAGCAGCTGGTAGTGCTGGCCAGAGGATTTCAGATGGGTTATTAATGACTTGTTTGGTTGGGGTGATCACATCCAGATCTGCTTCCACCACACCCTCGGGCTCCCCAAGGACCTCTCAGCAGAATGTCTACAACCCACCCGACGTGTCCACGTGGAACCCGTTTGATGATGATAACTTCTCCAAGCTCACAGCTGAGGAGCTGCTGAACAAGGACTTTGCAAAGCTGGGTGATGGTAGGTCCGTGGGGATGGTTTAACACCTGCCTGCTCTGGGAAGGGAATGGTGATGCTTTGGTCCAGTGTTCCTTAGGTGCTCCTTATTACTGTGATCCTCCTTCCCACTTCCCTTCTGTTTGCTCAGCAGTTCAGTGGTACCTCAGAGGCAGAGGTACCAGCTGCTTTTACACTGGCCCTGCTCAGTTGTTTGTAGCTGTAGCTTAAACTTTGCTTCATCTGCAAGCTGGAATTTGCAGGAAGGGGCTTAAGTCACTCACTGAAATAGTGTCCTAACCAATATAGATAAGCAGCCTGCTTTCAGAATGGAAGCTTTTCCCCTAACTCAGTGTCTGGCATTTCAGGGAAAGCTCCAGAAAAGGTGGGCAGTTCCACAGAGAACCTGATTCCAGGTTTCCAGCCGGCTTCGTCTGCAGCCCAGGCAGACGCGTTCGGGGGCTCCTCCTTCACTGCCGGGTCAGGTGAGTGTGTGAACGTGAACTGCAGGAAAACAGCAGCTCTTGGTCATGATCTCTTTGAAAGGGAAGTAAAACTGATATCAACTGAGCTGGGCCTTGGCACCAAGAGCTGTAGGGAATAGGTTGGCACTGCAGTAGAAAGGAAAGGTAGAAGACTGTGTGTCCTTGTCACAGTTGGGTGGCAGAGGCAGGAGGCACTGCCTGTAGGCAGAGGTGAGGAAAGAAACTAAGTGAGCCCCTTAAGTTCACAAGAAAGCTCCTTAGTGTGTTGGAGTTCCATGGAGCTCATAATTAGAGGTAAAACATGTTTTGTGCACTGAGGGAATTGGCCTCGGAGACGTTGGTCGGACACGCTGGAGCTGTCGAGCTGTTGGAAGGAGGAGAGGAGCAGGGATAGGAATGTCTCTGCTGCAGGAGGCTGGCAGGGATGAGTGAGCAGGGAAAGTCCTCAGAGGACAGCACAGTCTCATAATTGACATGTGAAATGATGAAGGCAGTGAGTTCTGCACTGGCTGTGCTGTGTGGGTCCAGAGGCCCTGAGTCCTTGGCTGGTCTGAGGGGTTGCTCTGCAGAGGCCTCTGCATGTGGGACCTTGTCTGGGGTCTCCTCTGGTCCTTGGGTCCCAAGGTTTTGCCCTGAGCAGCCCAAAAACCTCAGTGAATGCTGCTGCTTGTTTGTAGTTGTTCAGCATCAGCTCTCACTGAGTGCAGCCCAGACCTGCCAAGCACAGTGTAGGAAAGCTGCTTCAGGAGCTCCAAATGCCAGTGATCCTCTCCCTACCTTGGGCAGCCCTTGTTACTGGTGACAAATGTTTGATGCCTCCCCATGAGAGCAAAACAGCCCTTGGTGAGAGGAGTCTGGGAAGAGACTGAAGAATCCTTTGTGGAGCAGGAAGTGACAGATTCATTTACACTTATTTCTGTTTATAAAAGGAGCTTCAGAGGAGCTTTGTGACTGAGCTTGGTACTGTCGGCTCTTACCTGAGAGTCAAGGAGTTAAGTCCGTGGAACAGGAGTGCTCTGGGGAGTTGCTTTCTGCATTTGTCCAGCTGTGAGCAATTTATGGTGTTCCATCAGCCTTTGTGGAGGGGTGTTGGGCAGCAGCAGCCCCAGACTCAGCTGTAATGTACCTTCTGAAAGCCTGAGGAGCCTCTGCACGTTCTGGGCTTTCCAGTCACTGTTCTGTGTTCAGTTCTTTCAGTGGCTGTCTTTGAAATGTGCCCTCGACTCTCCTGTCCTGGGCTTTGCACAGGAAGGTGTCTTGGAAACCTCGGTGCTGGGCTGGACCCTTCCAACCCTTCTCTTTCTTTCCTCAAACACAGGAGTCTCTCCAGGCCTGTCTGGTACAAGATACTGCATCTTTTATTCCAGACACAGAGGCCTGATGTGGGCTGTGTATCCTCTGCTGAGGCTTTTCACCTTTTGTGCTGCTGTGAAGGGAGATAACAGGCCTTCCCTGCCAGGGAGTGGTTTGAGATCTGTCGGTTAAAGTGTGTTGGAGAGCTACATGGTAATAGCTGTTTGGTTTTGTTGTTTGGTTTTTTAGTCTTTTCACTGGCAACATAAACTGGATTTGAGTGTGTGTGTGTTGTTCTGTCAGGCTGTTGTTGGGCTCTGACACTGAGCTGTGCCTGTGCTGAGACTGCTCGATGCCTTCTGCTTTCCTCTTCTCTGTTTCACTCTGCCTTTTCTCTTCCTTTTCTCTCCCAGCTGAAAAAACGAAAGACATTCTGAGTTTGGACTCTAGCCCTCCTCTTCTGACTGTGCCTGATCCTTTCATTCCTCTCCCGTTATCCGACACGCCAGGTAACAGAGCAGAGTTTGTGGAGGGGGGCAGAGTCTTGGGCTTGGTTTTGTCCTCCTAATGTTCTGGTTCTGTTTCCAGGCACCCTGAGATCCTGGGCTCAGCCAGTGGGGCTGGGCACTGACAGGCTCAGCTGAGCTGGGGGCAGTGCTGATGTGTGTGCTTGGTTTTCCTGGCACACCCCAGGGTTGTCTCCTTGTTCCTGATGCCAGCAGTGTTGGTGTCTTTAAAGGTTCAGTATTCAAAGGCTGGAGCACCTCTTCTAGGAGGAAAAACTGAAAGCTGGGGGAAGAGAAGAGAAGGCTCTGGGGAGACCTGAGAGCTCTTTCCAGGGCCTAAAGGGGCTCCAAGAGAGCTGGAGAGGGACTTGGGACAAGGGCCTGGAGGGACAGGACAAGGGGGAATGGCTTCCCACTGCCAGAGAGCAGGGTTAGATGGGATATTGGAAAGGAATTCCTCCCTCTGAGGATGGGGAGGGCCTGGCACAGGCTGCCCAGAGAAGCTGTGGCTGCCCCATCCCTGGAAGTGTCCAAGGACATGTTGGACAGGGCTTGGAGCAACCTGGGCTGGTGGAAGGTGTCCCTGCCCATGGCAGGGGGTGGCACTGGATGAGCTTTACAATCCCTTCCAACCCAAACCATTCCATGATTCTGTGAAAAAATAACCATCAGGTAATTAATCACCTCCTCTGACCTAAGCTCTTTTCAAATTGGTCTCCAGCTTTGAAATTGTAGGTTTTATTGTTGTTAATCCTTCTTTCCTGGAAGAGTCCATGTTTCTTTGGCTTCCACAGCCTGCTGCCAATTCATGCATCATGTGAAGCACAAGTTACATGTGACCTTTTCTGATTTGGCAAAGTTTTCTGGTGCAGTTGGTGCTATTTCCATTTCCTTTGCAGTGCTGCTTCTGTCTTTCCTCTGTGCACATTTCTGCCTGCAGCAGCCAACACTTTTTAGCACAAGATTATGTAAGTGCTTAGGAGCTTATTTGCAAATTGGTGGGATTTGGAAAATGGGAATGTTTTTATCTTGGAGTCTCTCTAAGCCCTCCAGTGACTGTGTGTGACAGGTCCCTTGTCAGTGAGCCCCAGACAAGTGCTCGTGGCAGCTCCCACCCTTGTCCTTAGCCCAGGCTGGGGATCACTGGGCTGTGACAGTAGAGGACCCAAACCAAAACGTGCTTGTGAAGGTGACATCTCTTCATGGAGAGCTGAGCAAATCCCTTTTTGTCCATAAGTCTGAGGAACTTGCTTCCTTCTGGTGGATGCTCAAAGAGCATGAGGAGTGTGGTTTGGTCCAAAAGGGATTTTACATAAATGCTGCAGTTTGAGGGTAGAAGGAACTTGGAGGCTTTGTCCCCTGTGTGGGCATGTGCCAGGAGTGACCTGCCCAGCTGTGACTTGAAAAGAGCCCACAGGAGGCACCTGACTGCACATTTTCCTTCCCCCCTCAAGTGCTATTGGAAGTGCTGTTTTTCCTGGTTGAAGTCTGTCACCCAGACCGTGTAATTCCCTGCCAGCCTCATTCCCAGCTCTCACAGTTGCACCCCAGGACGTTTTCCTTGCTGCCTGTTGCGTTTCCACAGAGCACAGCCCCAGGGAGCAGCAGGTGAGCTCCAGCTGGGGGAGCTCTGGAATTCTCTGTGGCAGAGGAACCCTGTGGAGGAGTTGCCTGCCAGCCCTGCCCTTGGGGGCAGCTCATCAGAGCAGCAGTTGGTGCAGTTCCTGTGGTGCCAGGCTGCTCAGCCCACAGGGCTGGCCCTGCCTGGTTGTGCTTGTGCTCTCTTGCTGCTCTCCCCATGTCTGGTCCCGTTGAGCTCAGTGGATCCCCTTCCCTGGGGCCAAGGGGACGCAGGAGATGTGGCTGTGTTGGCTTCCTGCAGGTTCCTGCCAAGGCATCTCTCGTTTATTTTTCACCTTTTAACATAAAACTTGAGGCCAGGAGCTCATAAGTGTTTTCAAGGGCCAGATCTGTGGACTTACCCTTAGCTTTCAAAACCAAGAGGGTTTTGCCTGCACTTGTAAATTCAACAGAAAAGATAAAAATCCTGGGATTGGACTCAGGTTTTGAGTCTGTGTCTGTCACGTAGGACGGAGTCCTCTTTGTTCTTCTGTGTTACCTGTGCAGAACCATCCCCCAGCACAGAGAGGGGTGTGCTGACTGCAGGTGAACAGAAGTTTTAGTGGTGCCCTGTGAGTCAGCAGAGCTGGGAGTGACTCCAGTCTCCCAGTTGCACCTCACCTCCAGTTGCACAACATCTCCAGTTGCACCTCACCAAGCTGCCTCAGTTCTTTGCAGGAGCAGCTGAATTTCTTACTGAATATTTCCTTTCATTTGGAGTATTTTTATTCCTGAGAAAACCTTGATAATAGTGCATGTCCTTGCTTTGAAAACATTTTACCTTAGTCTTTATAGGCTGGGAGGATGGACAGCCCTTGCAGAAGTTCCAGTGTGAGCCCTCACCCTGTGCTGGCAAGGGCAGTGTTGTTGAGGAGGGCTTTCAGTACCCAGGTGAGGTTTTATTGGGTGTTTTCCCTGTTTGTCACACAGAGCCAGTTCTGGGAGTTCTCTGCCCTCCAGACCTGCAGCAGCTGAAGGACTGGCTAAGGCTCAGCTGCTTTCTCTGCCTAAAGCACAGCCCTGCTCCCTGTGGCACCTGGAGGTGTGGGTGGCATCACTTGGGTGTTGGCCAGAGCCCTCCTGGGCCTCTCCCCTTCCCTCTGCGTGCTCAGAAGGACAGATGTCATCAGGGGGCAGTGGGATGGTTTTCAGTGTTTCTCCTCCTCCAGTGTGGACTGGCTGCAATTCTTAATGGAATTGTAACTAGTGAGAGGAGCTGGCAAGGGGGATGTGAAAATATGGCAAAACATCTGTTAAAATAAGGAGGAATTAAATATTCATGCTGAAAACATTTTTCCTTGTGTATGTGCAGGAAAATGAGCCAAGTTGTTCTTAATGAGCTTATTGCAGGAGTCAGCACTGACTAATCCTAATGGAGTGTTGATCAGTGGTGACTCTGCGTGGGGCCACTGAGTGTCTGTGCCCAGGAATCGAGCTCCTGGAGCTCAGGGGGCTGCTCTTTGCAGAAGGTGTTCTGGAGGAATTAAACTGAGTTATGCACCTGAAATTAAACTCAGTTCAGGACAAGTCTCTGTCCTTGAGGTTTTGCTCCCTGAGTGGTCCCAAGTCTGGGATTTCTAAACCTGCTTTGCAGAGCTTTGTCTGAGAGGTTTGACCCAGAGCCCCTGGTGCTGCTGCTCTGGCCCATGTCCCTTATTTCCCACTGCAGTTGGAGTGTTAAATGCTGTCCTGACGTGGTTACCCATGTCAGCCATCCATTAGATGAGGTTTCACACACATGCTTTTGACTTCAGAAGCATCTGCTCACATCAAGATTTTGATAAGTGCTGGCTGGGCCCAGGGAAATGCCCTCTGAGATACTGCCAAAACTGTCCCTTTCAGTTGTTTGGGGCTGGTTGCTTTGGGGTGGAAGGGGCATCTCCTTGTCTTATTTCCAGATAAACTCCGTGTCAGTACTGAGTTCAATGCCACTGTGGCACCAGGAGTCAATCTTTTTCACCCCTTTTTTAACAGAGCTTTGATCATTCTTTGTGAATTTACACAACCCTTTCCTCCCTGCAGTAATTCAGCATCAGCTGCAGCTGAGAGACAGACATGTCTGTGGTGGAGGGACTGACTTGTTTGAGGAGCAGCAGCACCAACCAGCCTCTGCCACATTGTCTTGCCCTTAAAAAATACAAACTGAGAGGAATTCCACATCCAGCACAGCTCAGAAACCATTCAGGGATAGCTGAGGGAGGATGCCCAGGCCAGGGAACTGGGCACACACTGAACTCTTGGTTTTCATGGAAAGGCAAACACTGTTGCTTAGTGTCACGTTGGGGTTCTCCAAAACCTTTAAACAGCACTTTAGGGATGATGTTTGCCTTCTTATTCCTTACAAATGCTCATGGACTGGTGTGTTTCCACGTTACCCTGAGGATGCTCATCAGGGTAAGGAAGCAGATGTCCTGCAGTGCAACCTCCAAACAAAACATGCCCACCCCCCAGCCTGATCTAAAGATTTGGTCAGCAATGTGGGGCCCTGGTAACCGTTCCTGCTCAAAATGGAATTGGCTTCAAAAAGCAGAGTTTTAAGCAAAGAAATGACTCTTCTCACTGTGTTGAATGTGTGGCCTTCAGGAGCTGGGCCCCAGCTTTGTCCCAGGGCAGCCCAGAGAGCTGGGGGGAGGGTCAGGTTTTTGCAATGGTTGAAGAGCTGGAAGTGGGACAGAACTGTGAAGTGTTGAGATGAGGGTGCTGGAAGTGGCAGTTTGTGGCACCTGGAAGCACAAGCTGGGACCGAAAGCACCGACAGCCTTGTCAAAACACACGAGTTCGGCTGCTGTGACAGGGCCACTGTTACTGATGCAGGAGGGTCTTTTATTTCGTGGCACAAAATACTTGATGAGATGTTTTTAATCAGCATAACTCTGCCCCAGGCCCATAAATTCTGATAACTGGGTGCCCATCTATGTCAGAGTGTTCACAGCAACTGTAACAAAACCTGTATTTCCAATGAGAATTTATTTGTCCCAAGATGACACGTTGAGATAAAGTAATTACAGACATGCACAGCCACATATTGGTGTGTACTAATGATCTGAGTTTGCATCTTGAGTTGGGAAGATGCAAAAAGGCAGTTACTCATCTGGGAACTTGATGGTTAATTGCTGCATTAACTGAGAGGACAATATGGTGTTGTGGTGATTTGGGGCCAACAGACCTTGGGAATCACAACTAAATGAGTGTAAACAGCATCTAGTGTTGTTCTGCCAGGGCTTTGAGCTTGATCTGAGGGGGTATAATTTATTATTTTACAAATATTTGAGATCCTGAGTGTGAAACTAAAATTACTTGATTTTGATTTCTTAAGGAGCCACTGTTAAATGTTGTCCAGTTATCCTCCATGGTGTTTACAAAGTCCTGTGTATTTGGAGCAT